TTTGGTCAATGACATGAGACAAAGTATATGTGAACTGCTGTATGAAAAGTGAATTTACTCTGTAAATCTTCACCCAAATCAAAATAAAATTAAAAAAAAAAAAAAAAGTGGCACACTGCAGTCTCTACTGCACATGGCTCTCTTAGTGTATCACTGGAGATTCTTCTACAGGAGTAGAGGTATTTCTCATTCCTTTTTACAGGTGCACAGTGCTTTATTGTAAGGCTTTACCAGTTTATTCAACCAATCCTTCACTGATGGGTGTGTGGTGTTTCTAATTTACTATTACAAATAGCGCTGCCATGAGTATCACTGTACATGTCACTTCACATTTTTGCCAGCGTATCTCCAAGTACTTTACTTCTGCTCTCACTTAATACTCACAATAATCCTATGCCACAGATACTGAGTTGCCATCTTATAAACTAGAAATGTAAATTCAATGTAACAATTGCTCTAGTAAACATAAGAATCCAGCACTTGCCAACAAGCACATTAGGTGTAAGCCTTTAAAATGAAAAGTAAACACTCCGTATCTATAGCAGATTGGCATGGACCCCGGGAGCCATGTGAAGGCAGGGGGGCACTGCTGAGCATAATCAATTTCTATCATCAGCTGTGAAAGGTCATTCAGCAAGTTAAAATACTTTCATATTCGAGAGCCCTTTTCTGACTTCAGGGATTTCTTCTCCTGCCCATCTTTTCTCCTGCCTGTGCTGGAGGGCCTCCTAATAACGCATGCCCTACCCCTACACCCCTGCAAGGGCCAGGACTCCCATCGATCCATCTACAAGTCAAAAGCCCTCTTTTCCACCCAAAAGTTTCTAGGCCTTGACGGACTATTTTCTCCTAATGTAACCTTCCACCAAACTGGAGGGAAAAGTAACCAAGAGGCTGTAGAAGGGCCAAGGTAAAAGGGGGGACCCTAGAGACCAGGTTTTTTCAAAAATGGTCTCTCTTCCATGGAAATGAATAATTGGTTCTCCAAGGTAGAGTTTGTATTGTTTGGTTAATCGTCCAAGGTGCATGATGATGCTAAATATTTAAGCTGGGTATCAGATGGTTGGACAGGAGCATAATTTCAGTGCTTACTATAGGCACTATTTTCCAGATAGGCCTCTGCTCTCAACCCTACCTTCTCATTGCTTTCCTAAATACTGATACCTCATCTTAGAAAAAGAAGTTACTCTGACAAGGAAAACACCACAAAGAGAAAAACAAGTTTAGTTTTATTTTATCTATGTATTTGCAAAACACTTGGAACCCACATAGAAAAAAAAAAGAAAGAAAAACCTCCTGTGAAAAAATTACTTAAAAATGCCTGAGAGGAATTAGTGCCTTAGCCCCAGGGAGCTATAGCAATTCTGATTGGTCCAAGGAATCGAAAAGATATTGGAAGGATAAAACAGGAGGAAGAAGAATGAGAATTTACTGAGGGAGAGGGCCCCGAAGGGGGCCACGAGGTGGAACTGGAGGCCGAGGAGTGGGTCTGGGTGGAGGAAGAGGCCCTCGCTGGTAGCCATAGGGTGGGGGCCGTGGAGGGCCAGTGTATCCATGAGGGGGCATCAGCGGAGGAGGTCCCCGCATGCCATGTGGGGGCATTGGACCTGGGTGACCTGTAGGAAGAGAGAGGAAAGTTAGTAAAAGAAAGAAATAGGAGACAGTTGACATCAGGAAACCTGTGGGGAAGAGGATAGATAGGAAGACAGTAAGAAGAAATCCACATAAAAGAAAGGAAGGGCAGAGGACCAAAGGATGTAATAAAGAAGCGGCAAGAATGTGGTATGGGAGGATGAGGGAGGGGCCACAGCCTACTCACCCATGGGTGATCCAAATGGAGGCCCTCGGGGAGGCATGCCCATTGGAGGGGGTCCAGGATGAGGCATTCCAGGTGGCGGCCGGGGTGGTGGCTGTCCCCCAGAGCCTGGGGGCCCAGCATGAGGGTGTCCTAAACCATGAGGGCCATGGTGGGCCAGCTGCATCTGAGACATTCCTACGAGAATAAAACAGATATAAGGAAAAAGTGGAAAAAGATTTTTAGAAAAGAAGATAGAAAAGAGTAGAGAAAATGGATAAAGGAAAGGAGTAGCATCAGGAAGAGAAGAGTAGGGAAAATAAGGTTGGTAAAAAGTGCCTATCCTTGACCCTCAGAAAAGGATGGGATGCTTGGTAAGGCAGAGGGTAAACGAAAGAGGGAAAGGCCCTCAATGAGATGCATTGACACAGTGGCTGTGGTGATGGGCTCAAGTATAGCAGGGATCGTGGAGCTGGTGCAGGACCGGGTGGTGTTTCGTTCTGCTGTGCACGGGGTCATTATGAGTCGGAAAAGACTCGATGGCACCTAACAACAACAACTTCCTTGATCCCATTCCAACAATACAAACCAACCAACTACTGAGCTACTCTTCATTTGCTCCTTCTATGATTTAGGAACTGTACTGGTGATGTGAAAATATACAATAAATGATTAGTCTGTTGATGGGGTTTAAGATAGCAGAGATAGTAGCTGAACAAAGACAAAACTTTAAAGGATGTTAAAAATTTTTCAGGTGGCCAAGAGAGTGGGAATAGACCATTCTAGGCAGAAAAATTAGTATGTACAAAGCATAGGTATGTCACAGTATCAAGTTCCAGGAAATACCAGTAACTCAGTGATCAGGAGCATAGCACAGAAGCAGGGAGCAGATCATGAAAAGCCTTGAATGCTATGGTAATGAGTTCAGATTTTACTCTATAGGTAAAAGGTAAAAAAAAAAAAAAAAAAAAAAAAAACCTTGACTATTTCTATACAATATTCAACACACGTGAAATAAACTATGTAAAGAATTAAACCAAAGTATATGTGAACTGCTGTATGAAAAGTGAATTTACTCTGTAAATCTTCACCCAATAAAAAAAAAAAAAAAAAAAAAAATTTGAGCAAGGGTGTGTGAACATCTATCTCTTAGGAAAAGTATTCTGTGGAAGACAGATCAAAGGCAAAGAAAACTGGAGTCAAAATGACCAGTTAAGATTACTATGATAAATTAGATGTGAAATAAGGAAATAAGCACCTGAACCATGGCCCTGACAATGTTGGTAGATTATCAGAGAATTGTTAAAAAGACTTTGTATTAAGAGCAGAATAATAGGGAATAATCAAATAAAACTCGCAGATCTCTGAATTAAGCATGTGAAAACAAGGAAAACTAGAGAAAAAGTAGGTTGGAAGGGAAGGAGTAGAGAATAAGTTCTTCTGAGTCATGTTTGGTTTGAGATGTCAAAGGGGCAGTAAAGTGAAGCTGCCCATTAAGAAGGAAGATTATGGGTCTGGAATATTAATAACCATAAACTAAAGACAGATCTAGGAGTTATCAGTGAATAATGAAAATATGCAGAAAAGAGAATCAACCACAAAAACCTAGCTGCAAGCACAAAAAAAGGAGCCTATTAAGGAGGCTGAGATCGCAGGGTCAGAGAGAGAGAGAGAGAGAGAGAGAGATGAAGTAAAAAAAATAAAAGCCAAGAGAAAAGAATTTCAAACAGAAGGACATAGGTCAGTTTCAAGTACAGCAAGATCAAAGCAGAAAAGTGTCTATGAGGTTAGGTCACTTTTGGGGTGGAAGTCAAAAGAGAGAAGAGAAGTAAAGGTTAAGGAAACAAAATTCTGCAAATGTAGAATTACTCTTTAGAAAAGCTTACAAAAAAAAAACCAAAATGGAGACAAGGTGGTGGATGGGTAGTCTAATGAAATATTTTGTTCTTGTTTATGTAAAAGAATGTCTGAAGGAAAAGAGGCTCTGGAACTACCTATTCTTGTTGAGTGACAAGGGCAGCAGCAGGAGTGACAGCAGAGCCCCTCTACCAAGTCCATCCCTCCCTTTCCCAGAAAAGAATACCTACCTGGATGGGGCATCCCACCTGGTGGGAATGGGTGGGGATGTGAGTGTCCATGTCCAGGATGGGCAGCCCCTGGAGTTCCTGCTGATGGGGGGCCATGTCCTCCAGCCCCAGGAGGCATAGGTGGTGGGGGCATGGCTGGGGGTATACCAGGAGGGAGGGCTCCAGGAGGTGGCACTGGGGGTGGGAAGGAGCCAGGAGGAGGCATACCTAAAGAGGAAATGGAAGAAGTGTTATTCGTAGTAAGAAGAGAGTATCTTTAGAGAGCTAGTCCTAATCAGGCTTCTCCAAGAAGGATGAGTTCTTTTCCCATTTTCTCAGCTCTCTAAAGCCAGAAACTCAAATAACTTCTCTCTCCTGGAGAAATGCAACAACTGTTCTCCCCACCACAACAGCCACCCCCAATGCCCTTCTCATCACCCACTGATTCACTGTCCTGTTTTCAGCTCTTTTCCTTCCTCCTGTCCCTCCAATCCCGGGACAAACATAATTTGAATCAAAAGCTTTACCTGGCGGAGGAAGCCCAGACCCTAATGATGAAACAACAGGATTGGGAGCAGAGGGTGGAGGGGGTGCATCTGCAAACAGCTGGTGAGGGCGGTCAGCCTGGGAAAGTGGGTTCTGGGCTGCCAGAAGTCGTTCAGCTGCTGAGCCATGACGCTCACCCTTAGAGTCCTTCTTAAAGGCATAGGACACAGTGATAGGGCGGTTACATAGGTACTGCCCATTCATGGCCTCAATTGCTGCATCAGAAGCATCAAACGAAGCAAAATTAATAAAGGCATAACCCTTTGAGTTGCCTGTATCAGGGTCCCGCATAATCTTGGGGGTCTGTAAAATGACCCCAAAGGCGCTGAAAGTATCATAGAGCAGTTTCTCATCAATCTCTGGGTCCAGGTTCCCAATGAAAATGTTGGCCCCTACATCCAGGTTTTTGTTGTGAGCTGATGCCTTGTTCACCCTTATTGGTTTCCCATAGAGTTTGATCATGTTCATGATCTTAATGGCATAGTCAGCATCTTCCTCGCTCAAGAATTCCACAAAACCATAGCCTGGGGGAGTAAAGGAGAGGAAGTTAACAAGTGAAGAGATTCAAAATGGAGTAAAACTCACTCTCCAACTAGGCACAAACAAGAAATAAATAAAAACTTCATTTCAATGAGAATAGCCTCTGAAACAAATTGTGAGCAGAAGCTCAAAAGAAAGAAATCTTTAGGCTGCTCCTTACAAAACAGTATAAACACTGTGCCTTCAAGGACCAGTTAGTTCCATCAACAGATAACTGCATCTGTTACTACGTACTCACCTTGGTGTTGGCCTGTGACTCTATCCTTTGGCATGTGGGTATTGACTACTGGCCCTGCCTGGAGAAACAGCTCCCATAACAGTGGTTCGCTAACCTTCTCATCAAGGCCCCCCACGTACACAGTAGCATCTGCACAGAAGGTGGAGGAGGTTAGAATAATAGGTGTGGGAGGGCCTAACAGGAAAATAAAGTGAAAGGATTACGCAACTGAAACCCAGGCAAAGTAACTAGGGATGGGTTCTGGGGATATAAGCAAAAAGCGGGAGGAAAAAAAAAATTAGATCAAGACTTTAAACCCCCCTCTTCCAAGAAACTAGAGAAGTTTCTAAAGTCCGACATGGTGTTCTGTTGAAAATTATACCTTTCACGGTTTTTTTTTTTTTTTTTTAGTGGGATGTCAGCAGGGTGTTGGAAACCTACAGGCCTCAGAGGGCACCTGGCCACACTGTCCCTAGCAGGCTGGGAGGCCGGTCCCGCGCTCTGCGAAGCGATCCAGGGATTTGCCCCGGTTGAGACCCTACCGGCTACAGTCAGGGCCTCCCAGCCCGCCTCTGCTCGTTTAGGGCTTGCCCTTCTAGTTACCCTGGTTCCGCTCGGAGATGGGCCCAGCAGCCATGGCGAACAGCTACCGCCGTCTCCAAGCACCGGCTCCGCCCTCTGACCTCAGTTACGACTTCCCCTTCCGGAGCAGTGGTGGTTGTTGGGGTGGCGGGCGGGGCCGCGGTGGGGGCGGAGTCGGAAGTGTCCGAGGCCATCTTAGTGTACGCGGAGTTTTGGCGCGGCTAATTCCGGGACTGTCTGGTGTTGTCGCTGTTTGTCTGTTACTGAGAGTGGTCACAGCTGGAGAGACGGAATGGAAACGCTCAGACCCTCTAAGGCAGTGCCAGACGTTAAATACTCAAACTGCCCCAAAAAATGTAAATTTGAAAGCTAAAAGCAAATCTACTTTTCATGGTATTTCGTAGTCAGTTGAACTTTTTTATGCCCTTCAGAAGAGTGCTGAGGAACCCCTACCCAAGGACTCGGCTGCCTTCCACTCCAGCCCGCAGCCTTCGCTCAGATTCGGCCTCAAAGCTCCGGCCTGGGCTTGAGGTATTTTGTTTTCCTGTCGGGGAGGGGATTGCGGAATGTCTGAGCTTGGAGTGAAATCCCAACTCAGTCAGCTAGTCGTCATCATATGGGGGATGACGGGACACCAGAGCTTAGGGGTGGTTGGGATTGAACCTCCCGAACGCACGAGCCCATTTACAACTACACTCCCCGTGCTCTTCCCCTACCTGCTCCTAAAGTGAGAGATACAGAGAAGTGAACCCCTTTCCCGAATTACATGTGAATTCTGTAGAGCCTCACCCTACCCCAATATGGTAGGTGCCTTTCTTGGGTCACACCCACTCTTATACCTTCCACTCTTTGCTACCTCACTGCCGTCAGTGGATTACTCAGCGACCCTGTATGGCAATAGACCTGCCCCATAGGGTTTCCAAGGCTGTGAATGCTTATGGAAGCCGATTGCCACATTTCCTGCGGAGTGGCTGGTGGGTTCGAATTGCCGTGGGTTAGCAACAGAGCACTTAACCACTGTGGCAACAGGGCTCCTCCTTTGCTACCTAGGATCCTCTATTCAAACAAGAAACAATGCCAGAATGTGTATAAATACTGTACTTTAATGAACCCCTTAAATAGAAACGTCACTGCAAAAATACACAGTTGAAGGAGGCAGGGTGTCTCACATATCCACCCTATTCTCATAGAAAACTGTAAGAAATATTAGTTGGGATTAAAGAAGCAGCAAGAGGGGTAAGAGTGAGGTCTCTAGGCCATCTTGTTGAGATGATGACCAGCATCTCTGATCTCACAATTTAATAGGTGGTATCCAAAAGAGGCGGTATTGCCCTGAAAAAAATTGGAGATCACATTATAAATTGTTTTTGTTTCCGGATTCTTTAAATCTCAAGATACAAGCAAACAAAAAAAGATCTCCAGGAACCAAAACAGACAGGACAAGAGTTGGCGAAAGTTAGCACCACCCACCTTGCAATGGAAACTCAAGTCTACTGAGTAAGCTTGTTTAAGGGCTGGAGTGTGGAAGCTGAGGCAGCAAAACCACGTATGAAAAATTAGAATTAGACAGAACCTTCCCTCAACCAGACTGGCCTCTGCCCTGCCTGTGAGAATACCAGTGGTTTCAGCAGGCTTGGGAGAGAATGGTATTGGGGTCTCTTTTCTTGGAGTGGTCCTCAGGAGACAGTCTTGGTGTCCATTTCCTTAATAGCTCCTGAAGGTGGGATAACTCATCTTGGAGGCCAGAGATTGTGAGAGCTGTCAGGCCCATCTGGGGAGGAGGCAGAGAGGATTATTGCAGTTCTGGTCCTCTGCTTCTAATATCCACTACTTCCAGTATCTTTAAAAATTCTCTTTCCCCCTCCACCTGTGCCCTAGGCTTCACTTGATCTAAGCCACAAGCAGTTTCTTCTCCCAAACTTACCCAGTTTGATGCCAACAGAAATAATACTTCACTTCTAAGCCCCTTCCCCACCCAGTCCCTAGCCATTCCAGCTCCCATTCATCTGGTTCAGCAGTCAACCTCTTTCAAACACTCTCAATGTCTGTTACCATTCTCACCTGCACCTCAGGCCTTCCCCTCAGGTAGCAGCGTCTCCAGAGCCTGATCTGGGGTCCCAGATATCCAGGTAGCAGTAGCCCTGGGGGCAAAGGGCAAGCCCCCCAATGTGAGGGGAGCCCCCATTCCTGATCAGCCAGACTTTCAGTGGAGATAGCAGGTCGAGGAAGCCAACGAGAAGAGACTGCCAGCAGGGAGAGACTGTCCCGCCAAGGACAGAGCTGATTCAGTGGGGTTAGAGCCCCTCTAGAGAAGAGCCACACAGAATTGGGGGGTCCAGGAACCATGAAGTATGACTATGGAGGAAAAAAATCACTTGGTAACCTAAAAACCAGATCATCCAGTTTTCCCAAGTTGAGCCAGGAAGAGGTGTCAGCTGCCACTATACTACAGATTGATCTACGAGCCTCTCCCTGAAAACTCTACCCACTCTCCTCATTAAGATTCACATTAGGCCTCAGGACTGATTAAAGTTGATTTAGGGAAAACTACAACGTGCATGAGACAAGAAGACTAATAAAGATGAGGAGGACAAAAAGAATACCTTCTGTGCTATTTTAGGGTTTCTATCTTTCTGGGGATAGTCAAGGACCATAAGTGACAGTTATATAAGAGGAGTAAGATAGCTTCCCCTGGTGAACTAAGACACTGCGTTTTCCTACTTCATGTAGTGGCAGGAACCTGTGGGAAAGTCAAGGGAATTTAGGAATTATGGCCACCTCACCTGCTGTCTAGGGATCCAGGAATCTGAGCAGTGCTCTGGGTCATAGCCAGGATTATGGAATTGTAGTATTTGTTCATTGCTGTAGCGTAAACCCCAGTCCCAGACAGATAGTTGTTGGTTAATGGAGTTCTCAGCTGGGGGCTGGGGGTAACCTGGGGTATAGACTTGTGTATAGTTGAACTGTACAGAGAAAGTAAGAAAAAGTGTGGTTAAACAAACAAGATAATAATTCCCCCAAATCTAAAGAGAAACCATCATGAAACTCTCACCTTTTACTTCAGAAATCAAATGTAAGGAAGATAAAAGTCCATTCCTGAGAATGAGCATCAACCTCCCCATCCCCACTCAACAAGACCTCACCTCCCCTAAAACAAATCAAGGCTACACTTCAGAGTATACTCAATGGGAAAAAAAGGGAGTCACTAACCTGTCCACTCTGTTTTCCACGCTCCCAGGGACTGTCTCTCAGGAAGGTAAGGGTGTCGGGAACCCTGACGCTATCATGAAGAGCAAGAAGGAAAAACTCAGAGAATTCAAACTCAGCTGGAAACTGCTGGAGGAGCTGCCAGACACAATCAATGAAGAGGAGAAACACTGGGGCCTGAGAGGAGGAAAACTAAGAGGTTAGAAGAGATGGTTGAAACCTAAAGGGGGAGGATCACAAAATGATGACAGGGTGGGGGACAGGCAAAGGGGGCATTAAGGAGGTCATAGAATGAATATCTGAATTGAGGGTGATAGGGGATTGTGGGACCTCACTCATTTTGGTCTCCCTCTAAGCTCTGCCTAACTTCAGGACCCTTTGACTTGATTCTCCTACAATGGATTATACTATTTTCTCATCCCCTTACTCCCATATACCCTCCAATATATTCCCAGATCCTTCTCACCTCCTCATTGGCCCCCGTTCCCCAAAGTCGGGTCAGGAAGGGGTGTCCAGCTGCCACCCACTCTCGTTGTACTAGTGATTGGAAGCCAAGCAGTGTTCGAGCTTCAGGGGCTAAAAGCAGCTGGACGAGTGAAGAGAGGAGGCCATTGAGATCACGATCACCGTGCTCTGGGTGATAAAGAGGGAGAAGAGGCAAAGAAGGGGGCCAAGAAACTAGAGCAGGAGAGAATGGGGAGAGGAAACATGGCAAGAAGTGAGAGGCACAGAGGGGAAATGTTTTGGGGGAAGGTAGGATTGAGAGGGCATACAAGAAGTGAAGAGAAAACAAAGATTTTGAATGACTCACTTCATAGACTCCACCTGGGTAGAAAAACCCAGCTTCATTGTAGGAGGCAGATTCATGTTTGTCAAACTAGCTTCGGCATTTTCTGTCCCACCCCAGCCTCAGCCCCCATCCAGTGATTGAAGGCAGGGAGCAGAGGGGCAAGAATCCTAGGGTTAGGGACCACAAACTATAGTGGGGAGGCAGAGGTAGCATGGAAGGGTGAGAATTAGAGCTCATGGGTAGTTTCTAGTAACTCAAGAGGATGCTAGCACTAGAAGGGGACCAAGGAGCCTTACAGGCCTCCTTCCCTAGGCAGAATTCAATCAGGTAGGTAAAGGAAAAAAGCAAGGAGTGGAGTGGGGTCACCCGAGGAGCTCACCTTGAAGTACTACAGAGCGAACTCTGGAAGTCACTAAGACTGAGATGTCACTGGCCTTTCGGAGACAAGACCTGGAGGGACAGAGGTAATAATAAGCTTAGGGGCAGACCATGATGGGTTATGGGATGGAATACAGGCAGACTCCAGACTCTTGCCCCCTTCTTCTAAAGAGCAGCAAACAATCTTCTTGGGAGACTGAAGAGAGGAATTAATGGAAGGCCATTTAAGAGTTCAAGTTAACAGAAAGTTGAAGATTATATAAATTGTCACTAGAAGAAGGAGAGGAGTACCTGACATAGTCCAACCATCGAGTTCCTTCCAGGGCTGAGAGCCATTTATCCTCAGCTACAGATGAATCTGGTATAGAGTAGAGGGGTCAGAAGGACAAAGAAATCAGAACTCGGGATTCAGGATACATAAACTGTAGCCTGATGGGTTACGAATAAGTTGTGTAGTGGTTACTTAGGGATAGGAATAAGAATAAGGAGTTACTATAAATGGCCATGAAGTTTCTAAAACTTAGATTGTGGTGATGGTTGTACAATAATAAAATTAATTGAATTGCACATTTCAGGCAAGTGAACAGTACATTTTATGATAATGTAAACTATTCTGTCAATAAAGCTATTAAAATACTAAGTTGGGGTCAGGAAGACAGGTAATCAGTGACTATGTTGGAGAT